GGGAGAGATATACAGGAAAATAAGGAAAAGGGTATGAATGAATAAATGAGGGACGGTAAAGGGAAGGAAGAGAGAAGGCTTGTAGTGCTTCATTGATATATCACCTTTGGTAATAAAAAAAAAGACCTGAGGGTTGATTGCCCCAAGAAACAGTACAGAAATGAAACAATACAATAATAAAGAGCAGTATAGCCTGCTATAATGGTTCAAATAGAAAGAAATTCTAAAAATAATGTTAGGGCTGAATCGCACCTGAGAAAAGAATCCCAGTCATACTGATTCATTCCATCCCTCTGTTGTACTGATACATTTTTTTATACACACCATGTGAATGCTGGAAAAAATGTATGAGTACAACAGAGGGATGGAATGAGTCAGTATGACTGGGATTCTTTTCTCAGGTGCGATTGAGCCCTAAGACGTACACTGAGATGTGTCAGAAAACCTTGACCCCTTTCCTTAATTCAAGGCTGGGTAACCTGTGACCCTCAATGAACTTCAGTGCCCATCATCACTAGCAATAGTGAGGTAGGATAGAACAGGAGCAGGAATTCATCGATATCTAGTGGATCAAAGATTCCAAACCTTCTGCTTTAAGCCATCTGCCCAGGAAATGACTAGGAAGGCCAATTTCAAATTTCCCCTTAAAGGCCCCAGCTTCGTCAGGATTAAATATAGTACAAGAAGTTAAACAGATTAGTAGTTCCGACACCACCTAGTGAATTCATATAGCAATAGGACTGCAAAGCATTATAAATTTTCTATCTGTAAATAATGTATGAGTAATATGAGATCACAGTGGGGCATTGAGTCATCATTTTGCCAGCTCCTCATCTCTTCCCACCCAGTTCCAACACACACACATCTGTACAGTAGCTTGGCTGAGACATCTGAGACAGCAATATAAGTAGGATATGATGTAGACTCTAGTCAGAAAAAACACATTAATAAATACACTCTTTCAGGTAATTAATGTAATCCAAAAGATGTAGAACATAACATTATGTTCAATTAAATACATGGTGGATTGGGCCATCACTGAAATTGGACTGGATCTATCCTACTGCTACCTTTGCATTTAATTTTTATTTCTTTTAAACCTCATCTGTGAGATCTCCCTCTTGCCTACACCATATATAGACATGCAGAGCAAAGTGGATTTTTGAACTGTAACATCCAGAATCCCTCTGCTAGCATAACTATCAGCCAATGGGATTTTGGGTGGTGTTGTCCAAAAAAGTCACTTTTCCAAGATTTGTGTGTATATAGGCCTGCAACAGAGGATAACACTCCATGCTTTGGGTGAAGACTGTGGTCTACAACACTTATGACATAATAAATCAATTTCTGACTCTCTGTTGCAGCAAAAAGAACAAACACAGCTATTCTCACACCAGACGTGCCCTATTGCATCAGACAATGATAAATCTAGTCCATCACCCTGTTTTCATAATGACAAGGGAGATTTCCCTGCCCCCCAATACCTCAGGATGGATATAGAGCCAAGATCTTTCTTCCATTTTGCCTTACTAGCAACTGTTTCAGATAGAATTATGAAATAAACTCTGTTTTGTGTAATTTGTGGGAGTTTTTGGCAATTGCTGAGAAGACAGCCTCTAAACTTCCATGCATCCATTTTCATAAACACAGAACAATCCATGTTTAGAGGCTGTCTTCTCAGCAATTGCCAAAAACTCCCACAAATTACACAAAATAGAGTTTATTTCCTCATGTTTTTGATCTGTTGTTTAAACACAAAAGGCCCATACCCTATAGTCATATCATATAGTATGATTCCCAGCTAAACTTCTCACAATGTCAGTAGCTTCTCAAACTGTTCGCTTTGCCACAACAAGATATTATTGGCCAGATCCCCACAAAACCAAGTTTCAAGATGGCTTATGATCCTGGCCTTCTTTGGTACATGAAACCATAATCTTGGGTTTAGAGATCATAAGAAGATTTCCTATCCTTGGTTAATTTTTACTCCAACTTTTCTCTGAAAGGAGCAGCAAAGTGAGAGCAAGTGACCAGCTTCCACCAATGTGCTGCTACTTCACGTTCTGACTTACTACACCAGAATTTTTGTCTCAAAGTGACTTGCCAGACATCGCTAGATAATTATACATTAAAGAGGCTACAAATAAAGAATTAAAGGTTCTACACAGAGCATGGTGGTCTATGCTGCCGAAACACAGGAGGTATTAGCAGGTATGTTGAAAGCCATTTCTCAGTGATGTGCAAACACCAAAGAGATTATTTAAACCTTATTTGAAAACAGTGATAGCACAAATATTTATTCTGAGATTGAAGTGATTATGGAATTATTTACTTTGGAAAGTAGGTGTGTAACAGAGGATAGCATGAAATGCTGATTTAAGAAATAGTGCTGCTTATGTTAACTTTTCATAGGGAAAACTGGTAATGTTACATAAAAGCATAAAATCAAGGGGGAAATGCAGCAAAGCCTAAAATTTTATATTAAAGACATTATAAACGACAATATAGAAAACATCTGTATTCATTTGAATTATCATTATATTTGACTTTCAAAAATGCAATAGATTAATTAAAATTTAAATTTAATGAACCTCTCAACCTCTCTTATATCTGTCTCTGTTATGTAAGTATGTGTCTACACTGGGGATGAAACCAAGCTTTCTTCAAAGTTTTTCAAAGTGAGTCCCTGCTGGTTTCCATGGGTGAAATTCATGTAATACTCTGCACAAATATGATCAGTTATCATGTTGCAGGACCCACAGGGCAGAGGCAAAAAGCTGGAAGTGTGAGGGGGAAAGTCATATTTGCTCAGATCAGCAGCTTCCACTGGGATCACTCCTTTCCTTCATCATCCTTTTCATTTATTTTTAATTTTTCCAAAGTGACATAGCACTTATCTGGTACAGCACTAACTTTGACAAGCATACTTTTTAAAACAAGAGTTTGGCAAGGAGGCAGTTTAATTGCTCAGTTGAGGGGAATTGATATTAATGGCATGCCCGCTGGTACTTCCATGACTGACCCTGCATAAGATTGGGTCATCACATGCCAGAAAGTGGAGAGAAGTGATGCCAGGCAGAGCACAATAAACTACCTCTTGCTGGCTAAAGAAAAAGAGATTATTCCTAAATGAAAAATGCTGGGCTTTATTTTATTTATTTATTTTATTAGATTTATACCCCGCCTATCTAGACAGATAGTCTACTCTGTCTAATTTTATATTATGTAGTCACTGGTTTTTATTTTGGTTTTATCCATGCCAAATCCAGCAGGGTAAACATCCAAAGTAGTTGCACCCTAAATTAATATATTAGGTCAGAGAGTCTGACAACTCCGCATTGATTTCAAAGTTGTTGTAAAAATCCCGAAGTCTTACAGCTATGGAAAAACTATAGACACAAATACATTAAAATATATGAAAACTAAACCTACATTGCAATCAAATACTTCAGTCAGAATTCAGTCAAAAATACAGGGGCATAAAAATTATAAGAATATCAACAATAATGTTTTAGTTACATTCCAAAAAAATGCTGGAGCTAAAAACCTAAAAACACAAAATCAAAAAGCATGGATTATATCTTGAAAAATATCAAAGTTGTTAAAATTGAAAATCTGTGAAAGTACGATACATTACTTATCCCTTTAGGATATCTAGACACAAATGAAAATTATTTTCAGTGCTCACTCGATCAAGCCACGTTCAATCTATGGAGGAAAATCCATGTTGCCCTTGTCTGCTGCTGTTGTTGTGATTATTGTTAGTATGCAGTTTGCATGGAATGTTGTGTTATCTTGTGATTATGATGTATCTCTTGTCTCCCTATATTTATATTTCTTTCATATGTTTACAATTCCCCTTCCAACTGTAAAATTCTGCTTTCCAGGGCTGCATATTATATGAATCTGATGCCAAACTTTCCCCCCCTCGGTGCTTTGTTTTTCTTCGGCAAAATGGATGCTCCCCTTCCCCCTTCCCACTGCACCCATCGCCTCCCTATCTGGTCCTGCCGCTGCCACCACCACTGCCTCTGCCACCATATTCAGAGACAGAGACCGTCTTCCCTTCCAGGTGCCTGGCCCACTGCCTCTACACATGTGCCCGACCCCTGGCTGATCAGGGTGCGCATGTACAGAGGCAGTTCCCAGGCTCCTGGACGAGAAGCTGGGCCATTCTTGCACCTTTGCACATGGCACCCAGGCATTCGGAGATGCAGTAGCAGCACGATGGTGGTGCAACAGGGGCACGTAGCCCCTCCCCCACTGGGCATAAACCAAAACCCGATCCCAAACCAGTTTGGTTTTCTGGTTTGTTCATGGTGATTGTGGGTGGTGGCTAATCATGAACAGTCACAAAACACAATTTTTTCCAGGTTTGTGCTCATCTCTACTCAATATATTAAAATTTTCACATTTTGCAAGTTTATAGAATAGAAGAGCAATAGCGGAAGCATCCAGTTCCCATACATTCATGGTAGCTGGAAAACATTTCAGCAAAGCAATAAATAAACGGTCAATAATATTTTCATCCACAAGCAAAAGTTGCACGGAGTTCTTCTGGTTCTCCGTGGATGGAAAATTTCTGCTGTGTTTAAGAGCGATAAAAAAGGAAAAAGGTTTATGGCACCACGATGGCACGAGATAAAATCTCTCCTTCATGTTTTCTTTTCAGAGAATACCCAGTATAAATGAAGCAAAAATTCCTATAGCTATAAAGGGGCAACCAGACCATGTTCTTTATCCTTGCATTTCTTCCTGAGTCTTTATCCCCAGGAAGGCAGCTGTCACCCTCCAGGAATATTTAAAATTTCAATTATCTGAATACAATTGAGTGGGGGGGGTTGTAGGTCAAACCTGCCCCTCGACATCTAGATGGTCCCAGTTTATAATTCCTGGTTAAGTCCACCTTCCTTAACCTTGTGCATTCCAGATGGATAGCTGACCCACCTTCCTTAACCTTGTGCATTCCAGATCGATAGCTGACTGGTGGTTTAGGTATCAGGCTGCAAAGCCAGAGGCTGGGAGTTCACTTCCCAACTGCACCTCCACAACAGGGGTTGGACTTGCTGATCCATAGGGATGATCCAAAGCTTCTGAAGAATACTTTTGAGGGATAGAAATCTCTTTCCTACTCCATTGTTTCTTCACACTGAACGTTATAGTGTTGTCCCCTCTGACCACTCTGTTAGTGTGGTTTCTCTCCAGTAGTGGGTCCATTCCACTTCTCTTGCAAAATGCTCATTAATCTGATAAAGAAATAACAGAGGGTTCTCACACATTCTAAATACTGATTATATAGAACCTTTGGTATCCTCAGTGGTTCAAGCATCTGGCTGTGGAGCCTCCTTGACAGGAGCTGGACTAGTTGATCTATAGGGTCCCTTCCAGCTTTGCAGTTCTAAGATAAGACGTGTTGAACTATATTTCTCACATTTTAAGCAAGCATAACTATGCCAGATTGGCTGGGGATGTTGGAAGTTGTAGCCTAACATGACCGACGGGTACATGGTTTGATAAGGCGGCTTTAGTCCTTGTGAGGCAAGTACAAGAACACGTTAAGGAGTCATAGGGGTTGCCCATGGAAACATCCTCTTACAAACAAAACTGGCCTTGCCTTCTAAGTCCCCAAATTCCCTGTGGAATGCCCTCTCAGTCTATATCGAGTGGGATGGTTTGAAGGGAGCTTCTATTCATGGTTGTTTGGAGGTTTTCTAAAATGCTAGGAGTCTTCCTGTGACCACAAACTCTTCTTTGTCAAGTTATTGAAAGAAACATAAATGAAAGCCCCCTGCAAACTTCCTCATTTGATACAAGGAGAATCAGATAGACTGAAATGGGGCTGACTTACATGAGCCCCGCCTTTTTACTCACACTCCTATGTATATTCCATTGAACTGAGCTACCAACATGCAACACAGCTCAGGCCAATGCAGCTAAAACAGTTGCATATAATTTACCACTTTCCTTGGTTGTTTCCCCAGATCAGTTTTAAGATTGTGCATTTCTCAGGGCAGAGACCTGTCCTGTTCTACTCTAGAGTACTATATAAACACTGGTAGCATTTATAGTCAATCCTGAATGCTCACTAAAAGGACTGATCCTGAACCTGAGGCTTCCAATACTTTGGCCATCTCATGAGAAGAGAAGACTCCCTGGAAAAGACCCTGATGTTGGGAAAGTGTGAAGGCAAGAGCAGAAGAGGACAGCTGAGGACAAAATGGCTGGACAGTGTCACCGAAGCGACCAACATGAATTTGACCCAACTCTGGGAGGCAGTGGAATACAGGTGGGCCTGGCGTGCTCTGGTCCATGGGGTCACAAAGAGTCGGACACGACTTAATGACTAAACAACAACAACAAAAAGCATTTATAGTAATAGTTTTGATTGATCTAATTTCCTCACAAACCCCCATTATAATATCCTTTACTTCTTAACATACAAGACACTAGAACATGGGAGAATTAGAAACAAAGTGAGATGAATACTTCAACCAGTTAGGCTAGGATGCATCCATGTGGCTGACTGGCATGAGGTAAAAGAATAAGAATTGTAGAGGAGAGAAAGAAAAAGTAATAATTCAAATGCAGCTTGACAATTCCAATTAAATAACCTAAAGCTTGAGTTTGGCATTTTTCTTACACATGATGTGATTGATATTTGTACTTAGGAACTTTTGAAATATTTAAGCAGAAGAGAAATGAAATGAACTGCAACCAGTTAAGGTCATCTACTTAGGACAAAAAAAATGATAAAATATTAAAATGACAGAAACAAATTTTGCAATGGTTAATATACCAAGACTTCATAGAGATGTATTATTCAAAGCAGAGAAACATGCATGACCTCTGGTCTATTGCAAAATACAGAAAGAATATGAAAGTTCAGATCTACACAAGTGTAGGTATCAAGCAGAATAAGGAAGGAACATAAAATGCAAATCAGAGGCTGATTCTGTCACCACTGTTGGTAGATATTGCAAATGTAAGAACCTCTTTTCCAATTGCAAAAAAGTCATGAAATAAAGCACCCATGGACTGAAGCGCACAGATCAAACCTATAGTCAAATATATAGCCCGAAATGAACTTTGAGCCCAGATAACCTCCCTGAGACAACAATTTGCATAGCATGGTTTAGAGTGATAGAAGTTATCAGTTTTGTAAGTAATGTCCAAATTCACCTTCTGTTCCCATCAGACATGTTGTAATTCTGCTGCTGAACTATGTATTGATAAAGTATCAGTGAATTATTCTAAAAGAAACTACCACTTTTTGTAAAAAGAATGTAGCCTCAGAGAAGAAATAGTTCTCAGAGTCAGACACCATATCCAAATGCAAGAACTCAGTGTCATACATGGTTCTTTGTGCATGGCTGATTCTGTTACATACATTTTAAATCCAGATATAATGTGCTCTGTATCCTTGGCTTCAAATTTCCATTTTTAACCTTCCCTACTAAATCACATATTACTGATTTAACAAGTCAGTGTGATTGCTTTGAGCAGGTGGGGTTGTTTGTTTATTAATTTATTTCTTACATTTTTATCTTACCTTTCCATCAGAAAGCTCAAGGTATTTATTTATTTCCTGGTTCTCCTCTTTCCAACTTCATCCTATGAATTGAAGCACATTGAGAACAACAATTCCTAAGGTCACCCCGAGAATTTGATGGCTCTGTAGGGATGTGAACCTGCATTTCCCAAGTTCCAGGCACACATTCTAACCACTACACTACAGTGGGATGGTATCGAAGTTGCTGTCTCTGGAGTGTCTTCAGCCTTTGCTTGGGCAATCTTGATTGCTAAGGCTTGCAACTGATTTATATTATCATTACAATAGGAACATGAAAATAAACCTGTCATACTGATGGGCTAGTTAAATAAATCTATTATATCCATTGCTGAAGCAGTTTTCTCATGTTTTTATATATGTATATAGCCTAGGCAGAAATAAAACTCAGCAATAAATGAGCCTGGCTACAAGCATAGGGAAAGACTAGTGTTTCTGTGATAATAGCTTTAATAATGATACAGTTGATGAAATTGTACTATGGGCTAGCACTGTTTAATGCATATGGAATTCTAATGATTCAGGAAAGGCTTTTGAGAAGAAAATGGGGTCTTACATGTATTTTCCCAGAGGTGGAAAGGTGATGGACAGCAATAGTGCTTACCAAAGTCTACTCTTAATGCCTACGGGGAGTTCTCAGTGGGGGACGAATGAGACACATCAGGAAGCTTGGGGACACGTTTCCTGCCTTGGACCTCCCAGGAGCTGCACAGAAAGCCAAAAACAAAGGGAAAGACAGAGTTAAAAGCAAAGGTAAAAAGAAAAATTTAAAAAGAAAACCAGTATTGGTGAGAAGTTCTCTTTCAGTTTAGGAAGAAAGTTATTCTTTTGTATTAAATGGTATAGGGAACTGTGCAGCATATTTTTAAAATAACTATCAAATCCATGCAACTTATTTTTTTTTTTAAAAAAAGAAATGGCTCTGACCTATTTTAAAGGTGAATAGGCTTCCAGGAGAATAATTTGGCCTTTCTTTTTTTCTCCCAGAGAAAAGAAGGAGTTGAGGGAGAAACTACTTTTGGGGGTGGGGGCAGAAAACAGCTTTGGGGATCCCCATGTGGCTCCAGGATTCCAATTTGCCCACCCCTGCCTTATAGTATTAAGTCTTCAGAAGCAATTGTTTTGCAGAGAGATACTCACAAACCCTGCCCCCACAATGTAGAAGTGTCCACCTGGGCACACCTGTTAATCCTTTCCATTTTCCCCCCAGGATTTAGGTAGCCGCTTGTCCTCTTTTAAGGGAAGGCAATTCCCCCTATTTGAAAGGTTGTTTTTTCCAAATCTGATATAAAGGTATAAAGGTAAGGGAGCATAAGAGGGAAGACCTTGAAATTGCCCATCCCCAATGAACACCCGGATAGCAAATTTATTGGGCCCACAGGTCATCGGGATATCTATATATATATTATTAAAAATTTTTAAAGTTTTGCATCTGTACACATAAACTACAATATGAAATTTTATGTGAATCAGTGTCACCCCCTCCTCCGCTTGGTAATATGGAAGTAGCTGTCCTTTCATGTGGCCCTTAGTTTGTTCTGGAGCTGAAAATTGGCTCCTGGAGCCTATGAACATCCCCACTGCTGCTTTAACATAACCCACAAAGGCAACTATGTCACAGTCCTAATATGCGCCACCGTCTGTGGCTCCTTTTTTCTCTGAACAGAATTCTAGCTCTGTAAAAAAATGAAAGTTTTGTCTGAAAAATTAATACTTATTAGCATAGGCTTCAACTGATTTTTGTAAGACAAAGTAATCTTAATGTAAAATCAGCACTGTTAGCTGCAGGGAAAAAATCTAGTGACTGTGAATTTTCAGATTTTGGTTTTCTAACAGTGTGCTTCTAGAACACCAGACCTCCCTGAACTCCCTGATCTCATCAAATTTTGGAAGCCAAGCGAAGTTGGACTTGATTATGACTTGGATGGGAGCCTACCAGAGAATTTTAAAAAACCTCTGGATGGGGTTAGAAAAAGAATCATGCCCGAACTCCAGAAAGCTGCTACTAGAGTTGACAATGCAGAGCTATCTGGACAAATGGCTTGACAGAATCCTATGTCCCTACATGGGTTGTAGGTCTGTGTATGTTGCATTCAGATTTATCATAACTCAGCTATATATGTTTGGTTTGGTTTATTTATTTTTTTAGCTGCTACTCAATTATGAATTGAGTATGTTTGACAAGTCATGAGAAATTATGCATGGCTATCAACAGGTTTAACGCTTCCAAGTTTCAGATTCAAAACTTCTTTTCAAAAAGCTAAATCTTACTGATTCAAATGGCATGTAATGTCTTACAGAGTGTAGCTTTAGCTTATTTTATTAAGGACTCTGCATTTACCCACCCACCCCTACATCATGCCTTTAGAGTCTTTCCATCCCTGCTTTCTGAAAATCACTTAACTATCTGAGGACTAGCGCATGTCCTGCTTTATCCACTTAGGTAGCTTTTTAAAAAAGAATAAAAAGAGCAAAAAGTTACTGGAAGAATGCCCAAAGAGAATAAAGCCAAAAAAGACAGATGTTTCAAAGGTGAGCTCACTAGATTAATGACAGCAGGAAAAACTGTCATACTTTCAAGACTGCTCTTTAGCTAGCAGTAATGCCAGTATTGCAGGAAGGACCTAGGACATTTTTCTGTAATGGATAAAGCTATTAATAAAGTGAAGAGACCATTTAATGTATGGATAATAAATTGTCTCCTGCATACCCCTAAATGTGAAGTTACCTTATCTAGATAGGCAGGTCAAGACTAGAGAACAGTATAATTTAAATATGAATGCCAAAAGCATATATTACCCAGAATCTTGCCATTGAATACATTATGGCATGTATTCAATGGATGTTTTCTCTTCCTGACAAACCATAAGAACTAAAGAAAAGACATTTCCAATCAAATCATCCAGCATTCTGTTCATGCATCCTGTTTGCACTGAACCAGTTGCCCATAGGAGGCTCAAAGCAGGAGAGGAGTGCAAACAAGAGGCACTTCTGCATGTACCTTCCCAGGAACTGGTACCGAAACGCATGTGACCTCTGATCTAAAGATCATACAATTACGTGTCATAACTATTATCAATGGAGTTGTCGTCTAAGGCAGTGGTCCCCAACCTTGGGCCTCCAGATGTTCTTGGACTTCAACTCCCAGAAGCCTTCACCACCACCTCTGCTGGCCAGGATTTCTGGGAGTTGAAGTCCAAGAACATCTGGAGGCCCAAGGTTGGAGACCCCTGCCTTAGGTCTAAGACATCCAAGCTCAGTGGTTTAGGCTTTTGGTGGCAGAGCCAGAGACTGGGAGTTCAATGGATGACTCTGCCTGCTTGACAGGGGCTGGACGCGATGATCCACACAGTCCTTTCTAGCCCTGCAGTTCTAAGATTATTAAAACTGCTGGACAGCTCATTGGTTTAGGTCTCCAGCTGCAGAGCCAGAAACCTGGAGTTTGATTCCCAACTGAGCTTCCTTGACAGGCGCCAGACTTGATGATTCATAGGGTCCCTTCCAGCTCTGCAGTTCTAAGATTATTGTAAGTTCATTGTCATCACCACAATCTTTGGCAGTGAATCCCGCAGTGTAGCTATGTAGCATATGAAGTTATGCTTCCTTTTATCTCTCCTCAAATCTCCCACCACTTAGCTTTAGTGGATGCCCCTGGGTGCTAGTACAGTATAATGAGAGAAAAGGTTTTCTTCTAGTATTATGAGGGAGAGATTCTTGGTGTGTTGGCTTTGTATTATGAGGAAACAGTTTTAGAACCAAGGCTGTCCATTATACATGGTTTACCTCCATATATACTTCCTCCACACCAAGCTTGTTGTCTCTTCTTGCTGAATAGGGCCAGGTGTAACATGGAATTCCCTTTCCTGAAAGGGGATTCACTCCAGCCCACTGATCATTTTGAATCCTCTTTTCTGCATGTTTTCTGCTCTACAATATCCTTTTCAGGTGTTGTGACTAGAACTGTAGAAAGAATTCCAAATGTGATCACATCATAAATTTATATAAGGGCAGTATAATATTAGCACTTTTCTTTTTGATTCCTATTCTAATTGTGGCCACAGTGAAATATTCCTGTTTCACAGCAGACACACATTGGGCAGGACTTTTTATGAACTGTCAACAACAACTTCAGGATCTCTTTTTTTGTCAGCCACTGCCAGCTCAGAATATTTTAATAATTATCTGAGTTTGGGACCAAGTCCATTGTATGCTAATTGCTGGTGAAAGCTGAAAACCATGTAAAATTACAGTGTGGTGGATCGATGGGATAACTTGAATGAAATCCTTTTCTGTCATCCACAGGGTCCCTTCCAGCTCTGGTGTTCTAAGATGATGATTACATAATCCAGTTGTTACAACTGATCATTTGTAATACAGCAAAAAATATATTCATCCAGTTATTTCTAATACAGGGAGAAGGAATTTAAATGCATCAGACGATTTCTAAATTCTTTCAAGGTTCCCAGATGCTTGCATTCTTTCCAACTCCTCACCCTGAAATTCATAAGAATTGCTCAAAACCTTGTGCCCCCACTTAGATATTAAAATAACAATAATCATTGTGCTGTCAAGTCAGTTCTGACTTATGGCAATCCTTTTCAGAGTTTTTCAGGAAGCGAATATTCAGGTTTACCATTCCCTTCTTCTGAGGGAGTTCGGAGACTGTGCAGCTTGCCCAAGGCCACACAGGCTAGCTTTACTTGTAGGAAGCACAATAGGCAAACAAACTCCCAATTCTTGGCTCTGCAGCCAGATACCTAAACCACTGAGCTCTATTATTCTATGATGAACACTTCAAAAATTATGTTAAACAGATAAATAAATAAAAAAATAAGAACCATTAAATCTCTAAATTAACCCAGATATTTGAAACATAGCAGTGACAAGTAATGCACACCGGGGAAATGTAACACTTGACCTACATTCAAAAACCCGTTTTAAATTCTCAGAAAAGAAACCATAAGTCAAGATTGTTCCCTTGTGTTCCTGACTATATTTCCTATCCACCACCCATAACATTACACAGAGAAGAAAGACTGCAGCCTGAGAGTCAAAATACATGTGAAGATGTGAAGAGGGCAGGGACACAGATACCCCTGTTGGTGGCCCATCAGGCCCTGACCCAGGACCCACATGACACAGCCAGCCCTCCCAGGAAGCCAGTCATAGGGACCCCAAGAGAAAACTACGATGAAGAGAACACCCCGCCATATGTAGGCGCCAGGAAAGTGGGATGCAAACAGAAGCATATGTGATGGTGCCCATTGTAGGAGTGGGAAGTATCTCTATATGGGGAAGGGACGTTACAGTTTTCCTGGTACTGTGAGATGGGAGTAGAAGGAAGAGGTCTAACCTTCTCCTATGAAAGGGATGAATGTTACAGATGCTGAGATGAAAGAACTGGCTAGGAGAATGGAAGGCAGTTGGAATTTGAACCTGGAAGAAATGGAAAGCCTGGGAAACGAACAGCCAGATGGGGAAACAATGTTGGTGGGAAGGGAGAAGGATAAGAAAGGGGAGGAGAAGGGAGAGCGGCCTCAGGAGAGAGTTGTTGGGAACAGCAGCAGAAGAAACAGATACAGTACTTGGGTTGAAATTGCTAATGGTTAGGGAAGTGCGTTGCCTTCAAAGTACCCAGAGAAGAAGCCCAGAGAGTGTGGCAGGAGGAACCAGTGGGGAAACCTCCTTACTGAGGAGAAATAGAAGTACATGAGGTGAAAAGGTGTGTGAGAGAAAGAGGTTTGTGAGAGAGGCCAATTATAGCGAGAACAGAAGATGCCTAAGTTCCCTTAGGAACAATCCTGGGAAGACCCAGCTACCACCCTGCATCAGGAGAGACCTGGGCAAGAGGGTCTAGGAGCCAAATGTGGGATGGATTTTTCACAAGTAAACCCTTTTGTTTGAGGGGAAGTCGTTATAACTCCTGTCATGGAAGACTTGTTGTTACCAGTTGGTTACTTGTTAAAGAATTCTGTCAGAGGAGCTGAAGTTGTTATAAAAGAGACCTGGAACCCAAAGGAGGAAGATTTTTGTGTGATGGTGTCAAGCAGCAGAAAAATTCCAAGGGATAGGAGGGTTTGCCTGAACCCCACAGGTGCATGGCAGATTTAAAAGCAGCTTTGTTGTCAAAAGAGGATGGGGGACAGGAGTCACCGGAAGGGAAGGAGATTTCTGGGGAAACCAGAGAAGAGGAGGAGACAAAGGCAAGCAGAAAGGAGGAAGATGCAGAGCCCTTGAGAGATGGGGTAGGTGGGAATGCAGGGCTTGAGGGAGGAGAAACACGATCCTGATGTGTCAGACTACAATTTCTGTATTGGCCATGCTGTCTGGGGATCATGGGAACTGTACCCTATAACAAACTAGTATATATTTTCCCTCTATAAGCTAGGGTCAACTTCAGGATACCATTTGTTTGTATTTTTCAGAGGCAGGTGAGCACCATCCACACAATCCTTATTTAATACTTAAATAAAAAGGGTTAAAATAAGAACTCTTATTTAAAATTTAATAATTGATAAACATGCTCTGGTCCATGGGGTCACGAAGAGTCGGACACGACTAAACGACTAAACGAACGAATTGATAAACTTAACACAGGAAAGTTCTGGCTTATTAGAGCAGTTGTTTGCTGTCTGTTCAGATAGATTTCTAGGAAAGAAAAAGAAAAGTGAGATTCATCCCATAGCACTGTGGAGGAGGCATCAGATTGGTGAAAAGTCTTTTATAGTCCAATTTATTCTCCATATAAAAAGTACAACCATGTCCCGCACTTGTATGATAGACAGAACAAGAAAGAAAAGACTTAAATGAAAGATATTGTAATTCAGTTGGCTCACGTTTCTTGCGTAGTGCAAAGATTGTCCTTTGAGAAAAGTAGTGTCTTCTTTCCTTCACAGCTGCAGCATTGCAAATAGCTGAAAGCAGGCCTCTAACTCAGCAAACCCTGCAGCCAACTTAATTTATCTGGAGCAGATTTTCTTTTCCTGGGCCAGGCTGAACTGCTGAACTCTTGAGGTCAGACAGTCCACCCTTAACGGCAACATAACAGGGCTCTATCTATCTATCTATCTATCTATCTATCTATCTATCTATCTATCTATCTATTTATTTATTTATTTATTTATTTATTTATTTATTTTGGAGTGGGGTGAGCGACTTCAAAGAGTCTACAGGCTACTGCTACCCCATTTTCCAGGCTGACACACTTCTTCGCAAAATCAGAAGTAACCAGAAGGTCACTTCTTGTTTTCAAAACATGCTGCTTGGGGTTGAAAATACACTCCAAAATACTTCAGTGTTTTAAATATTGTTTTATTTATTAAAAATAAAAATCAATATAAAACATTTCCCCCAAATATTTTAAACAATAAAGGTCACCACACTTCCATGTATTTCCATGGATTTATCATAGTCTTTCTGTACTACCTTTTCTTTCTCCAGAATTCTTATTCTTCTGTGACTAAATTAATGTATAGTTTCCTCCTCCAGTTCTTCCATTTGTACTATTTTAAATATATATCATCAATGTTTCTGGGTGCTCTCATGCCCAAAAGAATAAACTTGGATTTTTATATATAATTCTTGAGCAAGTTTTAAGGCAAAATAATAAACTTTAATTAGAAGCAAGATTGAGCAGGAGCTTATGTCTTGAGGATGGTACAAAAATAAACCCAAAGGATAAAGGGCAGATTGATAGAAAATCATTTTTTAAAAGCACTGGTGAGTAACTCTTCAGTCATAGCTGCTGGAGAAGATAATCTCCTTGGATGCTGTTTTGTTTTGCTTTTTCATTCAGTGAGCAAGGTTGTCCAGCTTGATATGAACCAGGAACAGCTGCTTCAGAGTATTTACAAACAACTCAGCAGAGTGAAAAAGTTCACATCCATAATTGATGAAAAGTTCATGGCCATCAAATATATCAAGGAAAACCCCAGTGTTGATTCACCAGCACAAACTGAACTTCAACTACGCCTGGTTGCTTGCGTTGTGGTTGAGGGCAGAGTCAAGTATTATTATTCTTTGGCAGAGCTCTAATTAGCCCAAAACTCAAGCCTTCAGAATGCCCATCTTTGATTGCTCTTTGTCACCTGGTTCTTAATTATCCAGATTAGAAGAAAGAAAGTTATTTCATTGTCACAGCTTAATTTATTTTCTAAAATTATTGATGAGATTCTCCTGTCAACATTGGCTATTTCAATAAACACCATGGTATCGTTAAAACTCACACACATAACCTTTAGAATTAAAGGTTGAAAAGTGGTTGATGAATTGGTGCTTCAACAGTAGCAGAGCAGTAGCCATATTGCTGAACTTTAACCTTTAGAATTAAAGGTTGAAAAGTGGCTGATGAATTGGTGCACCAACAGTATATATATGCCTTTCCCAGAGCAGTAGCCATATTGCTGAACTCTGCTACAGCAAAACCAACAGTCTTTGGGCACCTTAAAGATCAACTAGCTTTATTTAGCAGAAGCTTTTGTGGACTGTAGCCCACTTTTCAGTCATATGGGGTTCTTCTGCCTCAACAGACAGACATTTATGCAAACACGGGGAGGAAAGGAATGTTACAAATACTAAAGGTTCACCATGGTGGTGGTCATAAGAGTGGTCATAAAACTGGATTTATATTATAAGTAAAATTAAGTAGGGTTGTTAAGCCATCAACATCCAAAGAGCAAGCCGTGAGATCGATGGTCTTGCCCTTGTTATAACACAAGGAGTGGACTCTTCAGCAACAGTTGCATGTGAAATGGATAATGTGTAGACTCTGAGGTAAATAGGAAGTTTGACATGTGAAATCCAGCAGCAGTTGCTCCTCTGGTACATGCAAGATAATAAAAAGGTACTGTTGACTAAGTCTAAATAATATGATCAGAAGGCATGACAATGACCCCCTGCCCTAATTTAGGATTGCCCAGTTGGTAGCATCTTGTTCTCTGTGACAGGTACAGCTCAAGGTCTCTCATTACCTGAGGTAAGAAGTGAAATGCTGCTGGTGATTCTACATTGTGGGAGGGCAGGAGTCAGTAGTATACTGCACCACATCCCAGGTATGTACAGAACCAGCAGTGGGCCCCACATGACAAGAAAGGAAGTTTTAGCTTTGCTTCCTCGTTTTGCCTGTCTTCATTCAGCTTCAAGGATGCCAGCCAACTCCTTCAACAAGACCGGGCTGTGAGAGTTCCTTTAAGGCTCAGCGGGACAGAATTGCCCTTAGTATCCCTTGGAACAATGGAACAAAAAGCCAGAGCTTTTTCAATGACATGTGAGAGGGCAGTAGAGAGTATGTTCCAGCACCTATACCATGCCCTACAATTCTGCCATCCAAGGCAACTTCTTCAGCTTGGCTAATGGTAGGGATGGCACTGCCATGTCATTTTGAAACCCATATAAAACTGCAAGTGTTAGGGCCAAACCCAGAGGTCTGAGAAGCATGGTTAACACTCCTGAAGGGTGATGGATACAGATCTTAATGGTGGATGTTATGAGTTGGCCCAAGGCTATTGGTTAGTGACAAGTAAAATGAAGAATAAATAAGTAGTTTGCCACATGTCAGATGGATAAATACGCATATGAGAACTCTATAGTACACCCTAGACTACTTAGAGATGTGTACACTAATAACATCATTTGCTGCACTTTTACACAGGACCATAAAATTTTGATTTACCGCAATTCATCTTTTATTGTACTAATATGTGGTCACCACCCTTTCTTTGGGGTTCTTCATTACAACTAGTGATGTTTCTAAGAAAATAAAATAGATTCAGGACCATTGCATATTCAAATTTACTGCAGTGTAGTGCTTCAAAAATAATGGAAGCTGTTGAGTGAGGCAAAGCTAAACAGTAAGAATGTGCAAAGAGACCAACTGAATCTGACCCAAAAATTACCTAATCCAGGCTTCTGTTCCTCCAACGACCAAAAAGATGCTTCTGGGGAGCCTGCAAGCAGAATATAAATGCAATCTCTGCTACTTATATTTCAAAGCAACTGGTATTTGGGTGAAATCTGTTTCCAGCACTGGAAGTAATATATACTGTAGCTATCAGGACTAGTTACCCTGATAGTCTTATCCTCTGTGAATCTTCTAATCCCCTTTTAATAAGTAGATAACATTTCCACTAAAGAAATGGCCGAGGATCACATTGAGAAAACATTCATGACATTTCACTTTCCAGCTTCACTATCTTGAAATGCAGTCTTATTTATACACACTGGTATGCTTAACTCATCTACAGTATAGGATATTAAATTGGGGGGGGGGGGAATCAAGACCATATTCCCTAAGTACATACATTGATTCTGAACAATCTAAATAATAATTCCCAGTTCCTAATAATACCAAATCCCTAATTTATATATCTCAGTATGAAATGAAACATGATTTCTAATATGTAACTCCATTCATCTCAGATTATCTGAT